AAAAAAAAAAAAGAGTTTAAAACTGCAATGAGCTATCATCATGCCACAGCACTCAAGCCTGGGTGATAGAGAAAGACTCCATCTCTAAAATAAACAAACAAATAAGGTGGGGAAAGTGGCTGGCACCTATAATCCCCGTAGGAGGCTGAGGCATGGGGATCACCTGAGCCTAGGAGTTTAAGATCAGTCGGAGCAAGCTAGTGAGACCCCGTCTCTAATGTATTTTTAAATAAATTCATTAAATTTTTTTTTTCACTTGTCATCCTCAGCAGAATGCCCTGGTGTTGCAGCTCTCAGCAACCTTGTACTCTTGGGCTCAAGTGATTCTCTTATCTCTCAGCCTCCCAAGTAGCTGGGACTACTAACATGTGCCATTACGCCTGGCTAGTTTTACTTTTTATTTTTATTTGTACAGATGAGGTCTTATTATGTTGCCCAAGTTATGCAGTCTCAAACTCCTGGGTTCAAGATATCCTCCTGCCTCAGCCTCCCAACATACTGGAATTAGAAATGAGCTACTATGACCAACCAAAAATAATTATTTTTAAGTACTTATATAGTATTTGTCAACACTAAAATAAAAAAAAAAAAACTGATCATTTTTGTAAGGAATATTAATATCAGTGTTTAAGAATAATTAGAAGATTAACCATTAAAACAGATGTACAACCCCACAAAAGTATGCTTTTATATTAGTAAATTTAATTATCAGAATATATTTAACAAGATCCATTTTTCTACTGTATTGCACTTACTTCTGTATAACATTTTGCAAGCTCAACATCATACCCAGTTCTCCTTTCATCTTCTCTCTGTTTGCACGGCACTCTGCCAAGTATCGAAGAGCCTACAGCAGAAAGAGTTAACAGGTTAATTCACCCATTTAGACTATTCAAAATTAAAACCACTGCTAACTTACGTGAAGAGGAAAAAGTGAGAAAAACACATTTTTGTTTTTAGAATCATTGGTATTGAAGTGTATAGAAACTCTCCTTTAAATATGATAACCAGGCTCAGCACCCATAGCTCGGTGGCTAGGGCACTGGCCACACACACCAGGGCTGACAGGCTCAAACCCAGCCTGGGCTTACTAAACAACAATGACAACTACAACAAAAACGGCCAGGCATTGTGGCAGGCACCTGTAGTCCCAGCTACTTGGGAGGCTAAGGTAAGAGAACTGCTTCAGCCCAAGAGTTTGAGGTTGCTGTGAGCTGTGATGCTATGGCACTCTACTGAGGGCAACATAGTAAGACTCTGTCTCAAAAAAAATAAAAATGAAAATGAAAATATGATAACCAGAGTAATTCCTCACAGAAGAAATACCCTCTGAGCTGGAGTAACTGAATCTGCTCTTTGAAATGAAGATTCCAAACTTACCTGGAAGGTCAAATTTAGGTTGTTCTGGTTTTACTTTCACCACTTCATCCTAACAGGGATACAAGGAACTATATTCCATTTGCTACTTTCATGAAGTAGCGCCAGTGACGATCATTTCCCTAGTTAAATTTTATACTTTAATTAAAAGAAACTGCGGGGGGGGAGGGGCAGTGCCTGTGGCTCAAAGGAGTAGGGCGCCGGCCCCACATGCTGGAGGTGGTGGGTTCAAACCCAGTCCCAGCCAAAAA